TTTATTTATGCCATATAATAAATCACTCATTAAGACGAAGCTTGTTCACTCGAGATGACTCGTTCTTTTATTACTTTTAATCAGAGGTCTTGACCGAGGTGAACGCAGTGAGGTCTGTTCACAAGACCGAGGTCAAGATTCTCAAAATTACGTTTAAATGGTAGGAAACCTGAAACTAACAGCTTAATAAGATAGAAAAGCACCAAAGAGATAATGATAAACCATAAAGGAACAAGGATGGCTAAGGATGGAAAAGATTAACACGGATTACAAACGACGAATTTAAAAAATTGAGGCTAAACTTTTCAATATGCGCAAACCATGATGTAACTCCTTTAATGTAACTGGTTTGTACTAGCTGACATTTTGCTTGCGAACGGAGATGAACTGAACTTAAATCTGTCAAAGTGTGCTCGTCCTCTTTACTTTTTTTTCTCATCAGGCTTTTAGGCACTTCTACTTATATATTTAAAAGAAAATAGTCGATATTTTTGTGTTTTAGTTTGCAACTTTTTCACCACAAAATGTAACTGGTCCAGTTGGGAAAATCTAGACCGCGGTCAATATCGATTTCAGCCAATCAAATTCGTGAATTCGGTAGTACCCAGTCTTTGTGGGAAATCGCCATATACTGTAAGTAGGAATATTGAATCAAAAAGGCACCCTGCGCAGAAAAACAACGGATGTCGTAATAAAACTATGATTTTAAAAACTTGGCGTTTCGTAGGCTTCAACTTTAATACATCTTTAGAAGTGACCGTTAAGCTGAAGTACATATAAAGTGAAAGATTGATAACTAATCAACCTCGTTCCCAGAGTCTCTCATCTTCCAGCCCCCCGGGCTCCTGGAGCAAGAGAGGAGAGACGGGTCTCTCCTCTCTCGCTCTGGCAGGGCGGGAAGATGAGAGACCCTGGGAACGAGGTTCAGATTTGGAGATATGTTTCTATCATTTTTGTGCTCTGTTTTGTTGCTTGATAAACTCTAGGTATTCACAATGTCTTGTAAAATGTTGCAAAGACCAAAGCAGCGACGCAACCGACTGAACGTCTGAAGAAAACTCAGTTTTAAGGCGTCCAAAACAGCATTCTAATAGTAGAAACCATTTTTTACCATAATTGCTACTAATCTTACAATCTGATTGGCTAATTTGCTGTTGTCGATAAGAGTTCAGACAACGCTGCTCGCGTCAATGTGTTACGCAATGCCTTTTTCAGCTGCGCCTCGTGAGTCCACAACATTTTGACCGCTATGATGACGCGTACTCGTTGTCGTTAAGAGTAGAGACAACGCTAAACCACATTCGATTTGTTAAGAATATTTCAAAAAATTATCAAAATCTTTTAGGATTACCTTCGGATTGAACTGTAACGCGAAAACGTCAAAGTTTAAAAAGGAACTCGATAATTGAGTCTGCTTTCCTTTGCTCAATCTCCTTTCTTTCCTGTTTTTTTTTTTTTGAAAAAGCTCTGGAAGCGAGTTTGTGCTTTACTGTATTCTAAAAATGTTTTTATAACATAGCGCGCGCGCTAGTCCTATCTATTTCCTATTGGGCCATCACGAACGAAATCTCTTTGTACGGACGGCCGTGCGTATATCATTAAGATGACGTGTGCAGTTTCAATTTAGCTGCAAAACTTCCGTCGAGTTTAGTGCAAGTTCCTTTTGTTTAGTTTCGGCGAAGTGAATCCAATCCAAACTCTACTTCCAGCCTTTAACTTTTCGGCAAGCTAAGATGTTTCCTTAACCTGAGTATTTTGACTTTGTTTGTCTACATTTTCATTGAGTATTATTAACTTTGTTTGCCTACATTTTCATTGTAAATAATTCCAAGAAGCGAATTTTTCATTGACAATTTTAGAAACCATGGCCAGGTTAAGTGTTTTCGTTCAACCATTGCTCAACTTATTGTGGCGTGTTAGGATCCTAATGACCTTTGTTTTCCTTCACCGTGCATTGTGAGAACTTTGTAGTCAATCACAAATAAAACATGTTTTAGCGCCCAAGTCACGTTTATCGCCATGTTTTTAGCTGTGCGTATATCGAGTTATGGATGCACTTTGGAAGTTTGGAGAGCACTCAAGAAGCTAGAGTTGCTCTCGGCTACGCCTCGAGCAACTCTTACGCTTCATTCGTGCTCTCCAAACTTCCCGCGTGCATTTATAACTCGATATACGCACGCTAAGCATGGACCAATTCTTCACTATTGCTACTAAGGAATTTGCGCAGCTTTTCATAACAAATAAATTGTCAGTGGTGGGAGAGGTCAGGCTTTTTGTTGGATTTCACGTGTATCTCTGGCATAGTTCATCCCATCTTTCTCATTCAGTCCTGCCTTGTAAAAAAGTTTCCTAATTTATCAGATGATCATTAAAAAATATCTTGTCATGTGAAAGCGATGACGTCACAATTGGCTAAAGGACAATTAATGGCAATCAGTGGTGTGAAATAAACCACGTCTCTATCATGCCCTCGGGTCTTATTCATTTTCTGGTCGGCCGACTCAGAGAGACAACAAGACGTGTCTCAAAATTTTCTTTGTTAAGCAAAACTACAGCTTTCCTAACTTTTTGCGGCTCATGGAGTTGCAGATCTGACCAACGCAAAACAAGTTTTGCAAAACGCTAAAAACCGTGATATTTAACTCATTGGGAAGGACTCTGTCAACTCCTTGCAAGCTTGTGTCAGTCGGTTAACGTATCAGTTTTAAATGGACGGACTGAGGAAATTTACAGAATTTTCCACCTTTCTTATAGTGCTGTTCTGTCTGGCGTTTAAGAATGCGTGTGAAGGTATCGTTTATTTCATTATTTTGTTATCGGTGTTATTACGGCCCAGGTAAATTATCTTTAATATACTGTTGATACAAAAACTGTATAGAGCCTTCACTAAGCCAATGGCTTGGGTTGGTAAAACACATAACTTCGTAACGGAAAGAACGATTAATGGCGTAACGAAATTCGACAAAACTATCGACATGTTGTAGAGAGAGTCGATAATTTCGGCCAGTTGACTGTAATAAGCATGCTGACCAGAAAAATTTGTCCACGAAGAAAAAAACTGTTCTGTTTAAACATAGTAGTAACTAACTATGGTTTAATACTGGATAATCCTAGCATTCTCAAACGGATGCGGAAATAATAGCGTGTGGTGCAATAAAAGCAAATGTTCTTAATAACTTCAGTACGATGTTTTTAACACATAGACAAAAGGCGCCACGGTACATTTTCTTCCGACGGTTTAATTTAAGAAATGCGCGATAAAGTTTTGAATATAGTAGAAAGCTTCTTCGTTACTAGAACTCTCTTAGAAGCATTTGTAAATGAACCATTAGCGATAGCAGATTTAGACGTTGTCGTCATCCCAGAATTCCTTTTGTTTTTCTTTATCATTTAAATTTTAAATAACAATTGCCCTAATTAACATAAGAAACAGAAAAAGTGAAGGATTCTCTTAATCGTATTCAAGTGAGGCCATCATGCAAATCGCGTATTACACAACAATGAGAATTATTACAAGAATCAAAATACCCATCGGTTTGGTTGGTTTAGGAATTGGGTAAATAGTGATGTATCTTGTATATTATGAAAGTAACAACAGCTCTGTATTTGGTTCACGCGGAAAATCTCGTTCATGCATGCTGTTTCAGATCTACATGCCATATTTGGAAAGCTCGCCTGGTGCCATGTTGTCAAAAGTCATGTTTCGGAAAACAGCATTCATTCATGTTGACCCAGTGTCCTCCTATATATCGCTCTGACAGAAATAGTTTTGTTTATATAATTTGAAATAATAAGACAAACTAAATGGTTCTCTTCTGTGTAACAGAGGTTCTATTACCTCTTGTTGTCATGACAGAAGTGATAGAACTTCTGTTGCATTCAGTTGTCTAATTAAGCTGTGTTCACACAAGGCCGAAACATGATTAGTCTGATCACGAATAAAACATGTTTCGTTATGAAAAGTGTTCACATCAGACAGTGTATTGAGCGAATCATGGTTGAAACTCAATAATATTTATCCTCATTAATTGTAAATATTATTACAGTTTTAGTGTGAGTATTGCAATTTTTATAATTTTATGTGGTGATTTGTTTTTATATGGGGTCACGCAACTCTTTTACAAATTATCCTTACGGCTTTTTCTTTCTTTCTTTTTTTTTCTTTTGTTATTGTTTTTTTTTGTTGTTGTTGTTGTTTTTTTTGTAAATCTGCCATTTAATTGTAATAAATAGAAACATGATTATGGGGCTATTAAGAGGCCAAATGTCTAGTTGAAATATGGGCCGATGAAGAAATACGACGGCAATTATCGGCGATGGGTAGAAAGCAGGATATTTGGGAGAGCATTGTCGCAAAACTTAATGAAGTGTAAAAAATTTATGCGAGTACCATACAACCATGCATGAAACGTGTTTGAAACCGACATCTGATGTGAACCATGCGATAACAAACATGTTTAGGCGAAACAGGTTTACTCTAATGCTTTAATGTGAACACAGCTTTATTTTATCAAATATATGCGACGAAACAAATAAGCACGCGACTGCAGTGACTTGAGAACTTAGACAGAGCCTCATTGAAAGGATAGTACTGTTGTTTTCGGCCTAACATTGATTGTTTATCGACATTTAAGATTAACTGAATTTACAAATCTTTTTTCTTTTTTAACTAAACTCCATGCGCAAACCGTAGGCATGTTTAAAACTATTGTCTTCTTGGCTCAAATGCTCACATACCTTGCTTTGTCCTCTGAGACCCTAGGGCGCCAATCATGCCATTCTGTCAAAACATATTAATCAATTAAAGTTGTTTTGATAACTTTAGGTCACCTTAAATTTTTAAGCCAGTGTAAATTTAATAAAGAGACTCCATGTTGTCGAGAGTCTGCTTAGTGCATTAGATCACAGAGGACGGCAAAACGTGGTAAGAAAAAAGGTGGCACACCAGCCGTTAGGCGATGGTTTTACTTATGTTCTCAGCACATTTTGACGTCATCTGTGACCCATTAACGAACAGACGCACGGCAACATGGAATCTATCTCGGATTGCAATAATGTAAACTGTCTTCCAAGAGATCATAGGACCAATCAAAATGCGACAATAGTTTGACTCATTATATAAATATCTATGAATAATAAGTTCAATTTATATTTCTTGAAAGTTATTTAGAACTTTTTCGCAATTGAATTCCATCTTGAGACAAAATAAACAATTATTGCACGGGGCTTAGTAAAATATCGTGTCTTATCAGTGAAGACCTGATGAATTGTACTTGATCTTCGAAACTCGCAGAAATCACGAGATTTTGCAATAACTGTGTTCAATAATTGTTCAGTTATCATTTAGTCATTAAGTTGGGATTTCGCGATTATTTTCCGGGACCTCAAGTGCGCGTTGCCTTGCTAAAGTAACAGCGGAACTGTCCCAGCACCTGTGTTGCAAGCTTGTCCTTCCATGATATAAGCTCGCCCGGCTTTATGCCGTTCCGTTTTTCCTTTTAAACATTACCGAAATAGGTAAAGAGCAACTTCTGTTGCCTTCTTTAAAGAAACGTATTCTATATTACACCTCAAATCGTTCTCCAACAATTCTGGGAAACGAGGTGCCATTCCTCATGCACAGCACTGACCAGAAGTGGACACAGCAAAACAAGACCGGAATATAAATTTCTCGTCCCCAGCGCCCTCACGTTCTCAGTCAGCGTTGCGCATACATCCAAGAGACAGCAATCGCTGTGGTTAACATTAGCTCACCATCCAATTTGGGCCGGAACTCGATCCGATTATTAGTGCTGACCATAAAGGTTATGGCCTCTGGGAACCATATCTCAAATCACTGTCAGACAATATTGGGCATGAGCAGAACAATATTTGTAGACAGACAGATGCAGATCTCGTGCAGAGATCTGGGTCATGCAGTGAGCAGGAAATGCTTTATAACATATTTAAAATCCTGGTTGGTTCCTTTCTTATAGAAAAGCCGTTCTCGGCATAAGCTAAGGTTGAATCCCACTACCTCGATTTTTCAAGGGAAAAGCAAAAATGTTCAAAATAGCGAACGTCGTCAAAATAACTGGCTCAGCTTGTGTTAATACAATAAAATCAGTGCGCATGCCCGATGATGAATGACATGATGAATATATCATCTGGCAACCAGGTATTCAAACGAAACGACAACAAATCGATTACAAATAAAACAATTAATCTGCTAATAATATATTTGACAAATTTACTCGATTCTGTTTCGCTAAAAAAGAGTGCAATTTTGTTAGCCTTTTAAAACTTTACTCGTGCTTATTTATTCCAAATTGTAGTTGAAATCATGGAATTACCTTTTACAAACAAGGTTTAGTTTAATTTGCTTCCCTATCGCTGAGAGAAAAGAGCAACCTTGTTTTGTCTTAATACAGAGAGTAACACGAGCATTGAAAAGAGCTTTGAGACAGGTCTTCTGAGTCATAAGGCTTTTCCACTCTCCGGCCCGCAGTAAACCTATATCAAGCGGATAGGACATATTTAGTCACTTTATTACTGGTATGGTATAAAGGGAATATTTCGGTGTAACAATGTCGATATCAAGGAAGTTCTCAGGGAAATCTGTGGACTGACATGTATTTAACGTCACCTACAGGCAGCAAAATACCTGTCCCAACAATACATGTTTAGCATGTTCCTTATAAATTATTGCACTTTTCCAGGTCAAACTGCCTCAATCAGCCATTTCAGTGTGACTCCAAATCAAAGCACCATTGCTGGACTAGTTTCAGAATCAAGCCGCAGTTTCAGTGTGTCTCCAAGTTCAAGCACAAGTGCAAGTGTGTCTCAAAGATCAAGCAGCCGTGCCACTGTGTCAAACAGTTCAAGCAGCAGCGCTGCTGTGTCGGATAGTTCAAGCAGCAATGGCAGTATATCTAAAAGTTCAAGCAGCAGTGTCAGTGTGTCGCCAAGTTCAAGCACCAGTGCCAGTGTGTCGGACAGTTCAAGCAGCAGTCTCAGTGTCTCTGACAGTTCCAGCAGCAGTGCCAGTTTGTCTGATAGCTCCAGAAGCAGCGCTAGTGTTTCAGAGTCCGTAAGGCCAAGTAGCAGTGCCAGTCTGTCTGCCAGTTCCAGTAGCAGCGCTAGTGTTTCAGAATCCGTAAGTTCCAGCAGCAGTACCAGTGTCTCTGACAGTTCCAGCAGTAGCGCTATTGTTTCTAAATACGTAACTTCCAGCAGCAGCAATGCCAGTGTGTCTGAAAGTTCCAGAAGCAGCGCTAATTTTTCAGAATCCCTAAGTTCCAGCAGCAGTACCAGTGTGTCGCCAAGTTCAAGTAGTAGAGTCATTGTGTCGCCAAGTTCTAGCAGCGGTGCCAGTGTGTCGGACAGTTCCAGAAGCAGCGCTGCTGTTTCAGAGTCCGTAAGTTTGAGCAGCAGTACCAGTGTGTCACCAAGTTCTAGCAACAGTATCAGCTTGTCTGACAGTTCCAGCAGCAGCGCTAGTGTCTCAGATTTTCTAAGTACCAGCAGAAGTGCCGGGGCGTCTGACAGAGTCACCAGCAGCGCACGTGTTTCTGAGTCCAGCAGAAGTACCAGTGTGTCTGACAGTGTCAGCAGTAGCCCTAGTGTTACTGAGTCCATCAATTCAAGCAATAGTCTCAGTGCGTCTAACAGTTCCAGCCGAAGCGCAAGTGTTTCAGAGTCCGTAATTTCAAGCATCAGTGTCAGTGTGTCGTCAAGTTCCAGCAGCAGTGCCGCTATGTCGCCAAGCTCCAGCAGCAGTGCCAGTGTGTCTGACAGTTCCAGCAGCAGCGCTAGCGTTTCAGAGTCCGTAACTTCAAGCAGCAGTGTCAGTGTCTCGCCAAGTTCAAGCAGAATTGCTACTGTGTCACCAAGTTCCAGCAGCCGCGCTAGTACTTCAGAGGTCGTAAGTTCAAGAAGCAATAGCAGTGTGTCAAAGATTTCAAGCAGAAGTGCCACTGTGTCGCCAAGTTCCAGCAGCAGCGCTAGTACTTCAGAGGTCGTAAGTTCAAGCAGCAGTATCAGTGTGTCTGAAATTTCAAGCAGCAGTGCCAGTGTTTCAGAGGCCGTAAATGCAAGTAGCAGTGCCAGTGTCTTTGATAGTTCCAGCACCAGCGCTAATGTTTCAGAGTCCGTAATTTCAAGGAGCAGTACCCGTACATCGCCAAGGTCTAGTAGCGGTGTCAGTATGAATGAGAGCTTAAGCAGCATTGCCACTGTGTCGGCAAGTTCAAGCAGCAGTGCCACTGTGTCGCCAAGTTCCAGCAGCAGCGCTGGTGTTTCACAGTCCACAATTTCCAGCAGCAGTGCCAGTGTGTCCGACAGTTTCAGCAGGAGCGATAGTGTTTCAGAGTTCATAAGTTTAAGCAGCAGGACCAGTGTGTCGTCAAGTTCTAGCAGCAATGTTAGTGTGTCTGACAGTTCAAGCATCGGCGATAGTGTTTCAGAGTTCATAAGTTTAAGAAGGAGGACCAGTGTGTCGCCAAGTTCTAGCAGCAGTGCCACTGTTTCGCCAAGTTCCAGAGGTAGTTTCAGTGTGTCTGACAGTTTCAGCAGCAGCGTAAGTGTTTCAGAGTCTGTAAGGTCCAGCACCAAGGCCAGTGTGTCTGACAGTTCGAGCAGCAGCGCTAGTGTTTCAGAGTCCAGAAGTTCGGGCAGCAGTGCCACTGTGTCGCCAAGTTTTAGCACCAGTGCCACTGCTTCGCCAAGTGCCAGAAGCAGTTCCAGTGTGTCTCAGTTCCAGCAGCAGCGCAAGCGTTTCAGAGTCCGGAAGGTCCAGCAGCAGGACAAGTGTATCTGAAAGTTCCAGCAGCAGCACAAGTGTTTCAGGGTCCAGAAGTTCAAGTAGCAGTGCCACTGTGTCGCCAAGTTTTAGCAGCAGAACCAAAGTGTCTGACAGTTCAAGCAGCAGCGCTAGTGTTTCGCATTCCATAAGATCCAGTAGCACTGTCAGTGTGTCTGAAATTTCAAGCAGCAGTGCCAGTTTTTCAGAGTCGGTAAGTTCAAGTAGCAGTGCCAGTGTGTCTGACAGTTCAAGCAGCAGTGCAAGTGTGTCGCCAAGTTCAAGCAGAAGTGCCGCAGCCTCCGTAAGTTCAAACAGCAGTTCCAGTGTGTCTGATCTTTTGGGCAGCAGCGCTACTGCCACTGTATCGCTAAATTTTAGCAGCAGTGCCAGTGTGTTTGACAGTGTCAGCACCAGCGCTAGTGTTTCAGATTCCGCAGGTTCCAGCAGCAGTGTCACCGTCTCTGAAAGTTTAAGCAGCAGTGCCAGTGTATCTGACAATTCCAGCAGCAGCGCTAATGCTTTAGAGTCCGTAAGTTCAAGCAGCAGCTCAACCCTGTCGACAAATTTAGGCCTTTCCACTGTTTCACCAAGTTCCAGCACCAGTACCCGTGTGTCTGACAGTTTAAGCAGCAGCGCTAGTGCCACAGTCTTGTCACGTTTTAGCAGCAGTGTCAGTGTGTCTGAGAGTTCCACCACCAGCGCTAGTGTATCAGATTTCGCAGGTTTCAGCAGCAGTGTCAGCGAGTCTGAAAGTTCAAGCGCTAATGTTGCAGAGCCCATAAGTTCAACCAGCAGTACGGATTTGACGGCAAGTTTAAGCAGCACCACTCTGTCGCCCAGGTCCAGCAGCAGTGCCAGTGTGTCCAATAGTTCAATCAGCAGCGCTAGTTTTTCAGCGTTTGTAAGTTCCAGCAGCAGTGCCATTGTCTCCGACATTTCCAGCAGTAGTGCTAGTGTTTCAGAGTCCGTAAGTCCAAGGAGCAGGCTCACTGTGTCTGACAGTTTCAGCAGCAGCGCTAGTGTTTCAGAATCCGTACGTTCCAGCAGCAGTGCCAGTGTGTTTGACACTTCCAGTAGCAGCCTTAGTGTTTCAGAATCCGCAAGTTCCAGCAGCAGTGTTAGTGTGTCTGACATTTCCCGCGGCAGTGCTAGTGTTGTAGATTACGTAAGTTCAAGCAGCAGTGCCACTGTGTCGTCAAGCTCTAGCAGCAGTACCAGTGTGTCTGACATTTCAAGCAGCAGTACTAGTGTTTCAAAGTCTGTAAGTTCAAGCAGCAGCAACATAAGTGTGTCGCCAAGTTCCAGCAGTAGGCTTAGGGTGTCTGACAGTTTCAAAAGCAGCACTGATGTTTCAGAGTTTGTAAGTTCAAGTAGCAGTGCCACTGTGTCGCCAAGTTCCAGCATGAGTTCTAGAGTGTCTGACAGTTCCACCAACAGCGCTAGTGTTTCAGAGCCCGTAAGTTCCAGCGGAAGTGCCAGAGGGTCTGAGAGTGCCAGCAGCAGTCCTAGTAATTCAGAATCCGCAAGTTCCAGTAGCAGTACCAGTGTGTCCAACAGTTCCAGCAGCAGCGCTAGTGTTCTAGATTCCGTAAGTTTAAGCAGCAGTGCCACTGTGTTGTCAAGCTCGAGCAGCAGTGCCAGTGTGTCTGACATTTCAAACGGCAGTGCTAGTGTTTTAACGTCTGTAAGTTCAAGCAGAAGTACCAGTGTGTCGCAGAGTTTAAGCAGAAGTGCTACTGTGTCGCCAAGTTCCCGCACCAGGGTTAGCGTGTCGGACAGTTCCAGCAGCAGCACTATGGTTTCAGAGTCCGTACGTTCAAGCAGCAGTACCATTTTGTCGTCAAGTTCCAGCAGCAGTGCCAGGGTGTCTGACAGTTCCAGCAGCCCCAGGGGCTCAGAATCCGTAAGTTTGAGCAGGAGTGCCAGTATGTATGACAGTTTTAGCAGCAGCTCTAGTGTTTCAGAGTCAGTAAGTTCAAGCAGCAATGTCAGAGTGTCGGCAAGTTCAAGCAGAGGTGCTTCTCATTCCCCAAGTTCCATCAGCGGCGCTAGTGTTTCAAAGTCCGTAAGTTTAAGCAGCAGTACCAGTTTGTCGTCAAGTTTAAGCAGCAGTGCCACTGTGTCGCCAAGCTCAAGCAGCAGTGCCACTGTGTCACCAAGTTCTAGAAGCAGGGCCAGTGTGTCTGACATTGCCAGCAGCGCTGGTGTTTCAGAGTCGGTAAGTTCAAGTAGCAGTGCTAGTATGTTTGACAGTTCCAGCAGCGGCGCTAGTGCTTCAGAGTCCGGAAGTTCAAGCAGCAGTATCAGGGTGTCGCAGAGTTCAAGCAGAAGTGCTTCTGTGTCACCAAGTTCCAGCAGCAGTGTCATTGTGTCTGAAAGTTTTAGCAGCAGCACTATTGTTTCAGAGTCCGTAGGTTCAGGCAGCAGTGCCACTGTCTCGCCACGTTTTAGCAACAGTGTTAGTGTGTCTGATAATTCCAGCAGCGGCGCTAGTGTTTCAGAGTCAGTTAGTCCAAGCAACAGTGTCATTGTGTCTATCAGTTCCAGCAGCAGCCCTAGTGATTTAGATTCCGTAAGTTCTAGCAGCAGTGTCAGTGTGCCTGACAGGTCAAGCAGCATTGCCAGTGTTTCACCAAGTTCAAGCAGCAGCGCTAGTGTTTTACAGTCCGTGATTTCTAGCAGCAGTGCCAGTGTGTCTGACAGTTCCAGCAGCAGCGATAGGGCTTCAGAGTCCATACGTTTAAGCAGCAGGACCAGTGTGGCGCCAAGTTCTAGGAACAGTGTTAGTGTGTCTGACAGTTCAAGCATCAGCGAAAGTGTTTTGGAATCTATAAGTTTAGGCAGCAGGACCAGTGTGTCCCTAAGGTCTAGCAGCAGTGTCAATGTGTCTGATACTTCAAGCAACAGTGCCAGTGTATCGCCAAGCTCAAGCGGACGTGTAATTGTTTTCCTGAGTTCCAGCAGTAGTGCCAGTGTGTCTTACAGTTCCAAAAGGACCAATAGTGTTTCACAGTCCTTAAGTTTAAGAAGCAGTACCAGTGTGTCGCCAAGTTCTAGCAGCAGTGTCAGTGTGTCTAATATTTCAAGAAGGAGTGCCAGTGTGTCGCCAAATTCAAGCAGAAGTGCCACTGTTTCGCCAAGTTCCAGAGGTAGTGCCAGTGTGTCTGACGTTTTCAGCAGCAGTGCAAGTGTTTCAGAGTCCGTAAGTTCCAGCAGCAGTACCATTGTGTCTGACAGTTCCAGCAGCAGCGCTAGTGTTTCAGAGTCCGTAAGTTCAAGTAGCAGTACCAGTTTGTTGCCAAGTTTAAGTAGCAGTGCCACTGTCTCGAAAAGGTCCAGTAGCAGCGCCAGTGTGTCTGACAGTTCCAGCAGCAGCGATAGTGTTTCAGAGTCCATAAGTTTAGGCAGCAGGACCAGTTTGGCGCCAAATTCTAGCAGCAATGTTAGTTTGTCTGACAGTTCGAGTATCAGCGATAGTGTTTCGGAATCCATAAGTTTACTCAGCAGGACCAGTGTGTCACCAAGTTTTAGCAGCACTGTCAATGTGTCTAGTAATTCAAGCAACAGTGCCAGTGAATCGCCAACCTCAAAGAGACGTGCCATTTTTTCCTTAAGTTCCAGCCGTAGTGCCAGTGCCTCTAACAGTTCAAGTAGCAGCGCTAATGTTGCAGAGTCCATAAGTTCAAGCAGCAGTACGGGTCTGTCGGCAAGTTCAAGTAGTAGTGCCACCGTGTCGCTCAGGTCCAGCAGCAGTACCAGTGTGTTTGACAGTTCCAGCAGCAGTGCTAGTGTTTCAAACTCTGTATCTTCCAGCAACAATGCAAGTGTGTCTGACAGGTCCAGCAGCAGCACTATTGTGTTGAAGTCTGTAAGTTCAAGCAGCAGTGCCACTGAGTCGTCAAGCTCCAGTAGCGGTGTTAGCGTGTCAGACATTTCCAGAAGCCGCGTTAGTCTTTCAAATTCCTTAAGTTCAAGCAGCAGTACCAGTGTGTCGCAGAGTTCAGGCAGAAGTGCTACTGTGTCGCCAAGTTCCAGCAGCAGGGTCAGTCGGTCTTACAGTTCCAGCAGCACTACTAGTGTTTCAGAGTACGTAAGTCGAAGCAGCAGTGCCACTGTGTGGCAAATTTCCAGCAGCAGTGCCAGCGTCTCAAACAGTTCCAGTAGCAGCGCTAGTGTTTTAGAATCCGTAATTTTCAGCAGCAGTGGCAGTGTGTTTGACAGTTCCAGCAGGAGCGCAAGTGTTTCAGAATCTCTAAGTTTTAGCAGCAGCGCTAGTGTTCCAGAATCCGTAACTTCAAGCAGCAGTACCAGTCTGTCGCCAAGTTTAAGCAGCAGTGCCACTGTATCCCCAAGTTCTAGCAGCACTGCCAGTGTGTCTGACAGTTCCAGCAGCAGTGCTAGTGTTTCCAGCAGAAGCGCCATTGTGTCTGTCAGTTTCAGCAGCAGCGCTAGTGAGTTCGTAAATTCAAGCAACAGTGCCAGTTTGTCTGACGTTTCTAGTAGAGGCGCAAGCGTTTTAGAAACCGTAAGGTACAGCAGCAGTGCCAGTGTGTCGGACAGTTCAAGCATCCCTTTCAGTGTCTCTGACAGTTCCAGCAGCAGTGTCAGTGTGTCTGAAAGCTTAGGCAGCAATTATAGTGTTTCAGAATACGTAGGTTTAATTAGCAGTACCAGTGTGTCCGACAGTTCTAGCAGCACCGCTAGTGTTTCAGTGTCCGTTAGTTTAAGCGGCAGTCCCACTGTTTTGCCAAGCTCCAGCAGCATTGCCAGTGTGTCTGACAGTTCAAGCAGCAGCGCTAGTGTTTTAGTGTCCGTAAGTTCAAGGAGCAGTACCAGTGTGTCGCCAAGTTCAAGCGGAGGTGCTACTCTGTCGCCAAGTTCCATCAGCAGAGTCAGTGTGTCTGACAGTTCCAGCAGCAACACTAATGTTTCAGAGTCCGTAAGGTCAAGCAGCAGTGCCAGTTTGTCGCCAAGTTTTAACAGCAGTGCCGGTGTGTCTGACAGTTTCAGCAGCAACACAAGTGTTGCAGATTCCGTTAGTTCTAACAGCAGTGTCAGTGCGTCTAAAAGTTCAAGCGGCATTGCCAGTGTTTCAGGGTCCATAAGTTCAAGAAGCAGTGCCAGTGTCTCTGACATTTTCAGCGGCAGCGCAAGTTTTTCAGACTCGGTAAGTTCAAGGAGCAGTGCCAGTGTGTTGCCAAGTTCTAGCAGCAGCGTCATCTTGTCTGACAGTTCAAGCAGCATTGCCACTCTGTCGCCAAGTTTAATCAGCAGTGCCACTATTTCGCCAAGTGCCGGCAGCATCGCTATTGTTTTGGAGTCCGTATTTTCCAGCAGCAGTACCAGTGCATCTGAGAGTCTCGGCAGCAGCGATAGTGTTTCAGAGTCCATAGGTTTAAGCAGCAGCACCAGTATGACGCCAAGCTCTAGCAGCATTTTTAATGTGTTTGAAAGTACAAGAAGCAGTTCCAGTGTGTTGTCAAGTTCAAGCAGAAATGTTATTTTTTTGCCAAGTTCCAGCAGTAGTGCCAGTGGGTCTTACAGTTCCAGCAGCAGCGCTAGTGTTTTAGAGTCCTTACATTCAAGCAGCAGTACCAGTGTGTTCCCAAGTCTAAGCAGCAGTGCCCCTGTGTCGTCAGGTTCCAGCAGGAGTAAAAGTGTGTCTGAAAGTTTCAGGAGCAGTGCTAGAGGCAATGTGTTGCCAAGTTTTAGCAGCAGTGCTGACATTTCCAGCAGCAGCGCTAGTGTTTCAGAGTCCGTAAGTTCAAGCAGCAGTACCAGTGTGTCGCCAAGTTCAAGCAGAAGTGTCTATGTGTCGGCAAGTTCCAGTAGCAGTTCTACTCTGTCGCCAAGTCCCAGTAGTAGTACTAGTGTGTCTGACAATTCCAGTACCAGTGCTAGTGTTTCAGACTCCGTAAGTTCAAGCAGCAGTACCAGTGTGTCGCCAAGTTCAAGCAGCAGTGCCAACGGGTCTGACAGTTTTAGCAGCAGCGCTGGTGTTTCTGATTCCGTAAGTTTAAGCAGCAGTCGTACCAGTGTGTCAGGGAGTTCTAGCAGTAGTTTCATTGTGTCTTACAGTTCAAGCAGCATTGCCACTGTGTTACCACGTTCCAGCAGCAGCACTAGTGTTTCAGAGTCCGTAAGTTCAAGCAACAGTGCCAGTTCGTCTGACGGTTCCAGGAGCAGCGCCAGCGTTTCAGAAACCGTAAGTTACAGCAGCAGTGCCAGAGTGTCGGACAGTTTAAGTAGCACTTTCAGTGTCTCTGACAGTTCCAGCAGCAGTGTCAGGGTGTCTAAAAGATTAAGCAGGAGTTTCAGCGTTTCAGAATACGTAAGTTTAAACAGCAGTACCAGTGTGTCGCCAAGTTCTAGGAGCAGTGTTAGTTTGTCTGACAGTTCAAGCAACAGAGCCAATGTATCGCCAAGTTCAAGCAGAAGTGCCACCGTTCAGTCGCCAATTTCTAGCAGTAGTGCCGGTGTGTCTGACAGTTCAAGCAGCAGCGCTAGTATTTTAGAGTCCTTACCTTTAAGCAGCAGTACCAGTGTGTCGCCAAGTTCCAGCAGCAGTGCCACTGTGTCGCCAGTTTTCAGCAGCAGTGCTAGTGTGTCTGACAGTTCAAGCCGCAGCGATAGTGTTTCAGAGTCCATAAGTTTAAGCAGCAGTACTAGAGTGTCGCCAGGTTCTAACAGCAGTGTCAGTGTGTCTGACAGCTCAAGAAGCAGTGTTAGTGTTTCGCCAAGTTCAAGCACAACTGCCACTCTTTCGCCAAGTTTCAGCAGTAGTGACAGTGTGGCTGACAGATTAAGCAGCAGCGCTAGTGTTTTGGTGTACTTACGTTTAAGGAGTAGTATTAGCGTGTCGCTAAGTTCAAGCAGGAGTGTCACTGTGCCACCAAGTTCCAGCAGCAGTACCACTGTGTCGCTAAGTTCCAGCAGCAGCCCTAGTGTTTCAGACTCCGTAAGTTCAAGCAGCAGTATTAGTGTGCCGCTAAGTTTTAGCAGTAGTTTTAGTGTGTCTGACAGTTCAAGCAGCATTGCAACTGTGTCGCCAATTCTTAACAGTAGCGAAAGTGTTTTAGAGTCCATAATTTCCAGCAGCAGTGCCAGTGTGTCTGACAGTTCCAGTAGTAGCGATAGTGTTTTAGAGTCCATAAATTTCAGCAGCAGTACCAGTGTGTCGCCAAGTTCTAGCAGCAGTGTCAGTGTGTCTGACAGTTCAAGCAGCACTGCCAGAGTGTCTGTCAGTTCCAGCAACAGCGTTAGTGTTTCAGAGTCCTTAAGTTTCAGCAGCAGTGCCAGTGTTTCTGACAGTTCCAACAGCAGTACCAGAGTGTCTAATAGTTCAAGCAGCAGTGGCAGTTTGTCTACAAGTTCAAGTAATAGTGTCAATGTATCGGACAGCGAAAGCAGCAGTGCCAATGTTTCCCACAGTTCAAGAAGTAGTACCACTGTGTTTGACAGTTCAAGCCGCAGTTTCAAGTTGTCTACAAGTTCAAGTAGCAATGCCAGTTTCTCTACAAGTACAAGTAATAGTGTCAATTTTTTTACGTGTTTGGGTATCGGTTCTTGTTTGTCTAAAAGTTCAAGCAGCAGTGCCACTTTGTTGCCAAGTTCAAGCAGCGGTGTCAGTGTGTCAGACAGTTCAAGTAGCAGCGCCAGCGTGTCGACAAGTCCAAGCAGCCGTGTCAGGGTGTCAGAGTCCTTGTCTCACAGTTTAAGGAGCAGTGTCAGTGTGTTATACATTTCAAGTAGCAGTGCCAGCGTGTCGACAAGTCCAAGCAGCCGTGTCAGGGTGTCAGAGTCCTTGTCTTACAGGTTAAGCAGCAGTGTCAGTGTGTTAGACAGTTCAAGTAGCAGTGCC